CACTGGCGGCAGCCCGTAAATAACTATAACTAGGTCACTGGGTCAGTTCGTAAATCGTAAAACGCATTCTCTTCAAAATCGACGGTTTGCCTAAATCTGAATGCCATCATGCGATGACTTCAAAATCAAAACAGCTAAAAAAAGCTAAACTAAGTGAAACTAAGTGAAAGAAAGAAACTCCTCCGTCTTGCTGGAATCCGTGGTTTGAAAGACCCTCGTATTTCACAAGTGTAGATGCGGGCATGTGGTGTCGGAAACTGCCTGGCTCTCCGCGATGAGCTGCAGCGCCGCAGCCCAGCAAGCATCAGCCTCCCAACGAACGCCATCAAGACAAGCATGCGGAATGCTGCCAAAGACCTCAAGCCAACGCACACACACAGCAGCAATAATAGCATCGGAACAGCAGACGCCAATCATGCTCCAAGATTTTTGCAGCGCCTCCTGCCAGTCCCCACGTTCGACCGCCGCATCGCCAGATGTGCGCAGATCAGAAATCCTCAGATCACGGGGCCAGGTCGTGGGTTTAGCTGGCATCACGCTCACACATATGTACCTAATATCCAACATGCTGGCAGCTTTCAGGATCTTTCAGGAAACCAGTTTGGAAGCTGGACTGACTCATGGCGAACGGGTGCAGGGCCAGGGCAACGCAGAACTCAGCGATAAAAAGCTAGATTCTGCAGCAACGCTCCTCTCTTGGAAGGCTCCGTCGGGGTGCTTTGCTTGCGCGGTCGCCTCCTGGAGTGCTTCCAACTCCACGCGGAGGACCTGGGAGCCCTCGCAACGCCAAGATACATAAGAGGCGGTCACTCCCCAACTGCCCTAATCAGGCATCTTGCTCGCTGACTCAACTGTCACGCACTTTGGTTTCCACAAGGCTACTTGCAGTTGACTTCTTGGAGCTGGGATACATGCTACCCTTCAGATACAGAAGCGGCAATAGCTACTAGCAGCGCCTTGACGTGCCTCAGGACCCGGTCGGCAAAGGACAGAAGCCCATCCATGTCGATACCTGCCTGCGACAGACGTATGCTAGATCAGCAAGACTTGCCAAGTCACATCTCGTGCTCCAAGCGCTGGACACGTCCAGAGAAATATTGATGCTGAATGAGTGATCAATTGAACAGCCCGACATAACCTCGAGCGACTCTTCGCCCAGGGCTGCTTCGACCTGTAGCCCACAGCTGTCTTTAGTCGCTGGTCAGGCTCTGCATGGGCTCGGCTGAGATTCCTGGCCTGGCCCATGGCGAGCACTGCCAAGCCTTCCATCGCCTCTTTTAGCTCCACTGCGAGCGCAGATGCTGGCCCTCCTGTCCATGGGTGTGAAGTCTCCATGGCCGACCATGGCCCTGCGCACCTCCTGTGCCTTGCAGCGGCTCCAGTAGTTCCAACGCGGCCATATAGCATGTTGCCGCGGACTCATAGCTGGCACGTGTGGACCCTCGAGCCTCGCAAAAGAGGCAATCAAGCTTTATGCCAAGAAGTGCCTGGTGGTTCTACAACGGAAGGCACCTCGTCGCCGCGGCACTGAAGCTCCTGCAAGAGTGTTGGCCAGCGAGTCCATCTTTCAGGGCCACTTGCAAACAAATCATGCCTTCTGTTGGAAGGCGGTGTGTACTTGTGCAACAAAATGGGTCTCCTTGGCCTGACCCAAGACAGACCGCAGCCGTAGATGCTTGGCCTGGACCCGATATTCGACGAAAGAAACTTCGACTCCCATCAGGACATGAGGCCTGCTCCTCCCAAAGTGACGCCGTACATGCGCCAGCCGCAGCCGCTTCTTTGGCATGCTGCTGCACTGACTCCTTATCATTGTCATACTTTGTTCAACGATCGAGCGAAAAATTGAACACAACCTCAAGCTGCAACACGCAAGAATAGAGACATTCACGGACCCGACTTCAGATTAACACCCATCCACCCATCCTGCATGTTCTGAGACTTCCAAACCTCACTCCAAGTTTCAAGCAGGCTTGTGCAGTCCCGCCACTGCTGTGCATCCTAAGACGGCAAGACGCTAAGGCATGATCGCTGCCCACCTGCTGACACTCTTACTTTACCCCTCTAGGTCGCACTGTCACTGTGATTTGGCCAACGCCGGTCTACATCCCGGACCGACTGTTCCGGTCGAGGTTGCCGGAGCACCAAGCCGAATACCCCCTCTCTGCAGCTGCGGTTCACAGGCCTTCTCGGCCTCCCGCAGACGACTCATCACTATACGCCTAAACTCCGGAGAGCCGAAAGAAGGACGGTCTTCGTCCCAGACCGACTGCGCAGTACATCGCAGAAACGCTTCTCTGCAGCTGGGTGGCTCAGGGCATTGCGCTAAGAGCTTCCGCAACTCTTGGCGCAGATTGCCTGACTCCTGAACAAGCTCGGGTGCACGGGGATCCTTGGCAGCATAGGAAGGATGCGGAGATCCTGCGACTCACACGAGTCAATGTGCCGCAGCGCCGTCTCAAACAATCGCCGAGCTCCGTCCCAATCCTGCCAAAGCGATGCAACACTTGGAGCTGAAACACAGGAAGAGCCTTGAGCAGCGTGAGTTCCCATGTCTGGTGAAAGAGCTGCTTCTCAAGTGGCCAATGAAGCAGAAGTTGCATCTTCGTCGCTCCTCGGCATCCGAAGCATCGACACCTGACAGGCGGAAACAACATCCGGAAACCAGGAAGCCTGTCTGCGATGTTCTGCCCCCTTCCTTGGCTCCTAAGCGCCGACGCCCGACGCCAGGGCAGAGACTCCCGCAAGCACTGCAGTCGCTGCAGCGCAGGTGCGACACCCGAACTCGGCTTGGGGCAGACATGATGTGCTGGATTCAAGTCGTTGTGCAGTCAAGGCACTTGTCCGCGTGATCGAGGAGGTGCTCGGTATCATCCTAGCTCCGGCAACTTCACAGAGAACAACTCGATTGGTGGCTACCGTTGCACTTCAAACTGCAGTGATACTCTACAATGAATGCCACAAGAAGACTCCTAAGCAATCCAAGCGAGTCCCTTAAGCAGACCGTCTCTGGTCCAATGATGTCCAATAACCTGAGCCGGGCCGACCAGCCTGAGCAGCATCGAGTAAAGCCTGCGCATCATCGAAATTGCCGGTCGCGGCCGCATCCTTCAGAGTTGGAATCTGTCCGCATTGTCTTTTGCAACTGGCTTGCAACGACTCCGGCAGGTTCGGTGCTGACATAGCCTACTCTGCATAACCCGCACCCTTCCACCTCGGCTGAAGCCAAAGCTTTCTGGAGCTGAAGCAGGGTCGCCTCTGCAGCCGTGAAGACCTCAAATTGTGCGACCCGCCAACATTGACCCAAGTCGCCTATTGAAGGTCCCTCTGCAAACTTCAACTCCCGACGGTGACACACTTCCGATATCTTCATGGACACGTGGCCAATGCCAACTTCAAAGAACACTGAGACACACCCCAGCAGCTGCTCAGCCAGGAGGCTGCAGTCACGCTCGGTGCTGGATCCTGCACCACGACTGAAAATCGACTTGCCCACGTCATATTATGTCATAGTGCGTCCTTGCCCCAGGTTGGAACCACACGCCATGAACCAGGCACCTCTTGGTGGGCAGCGGGCATGGACCTGGAGCAAGGCAGTCGAAGCTACCTGCCAAAACAAACCAAAGGCTTGCCCTGTGCTCTCCACATGTGAGTTCCCAAATAGTGGCAACGGGAGAAGTTCCAAGAGCAAAATGCAGAGATTGGCAAGTCCAGCGTAAAGAGTGCAGGACAGAGACACACAGTAGCGTACAGGAGAGACCAAGGTAAGAGGCAGAGGGGGCAGAGTACACAGCTACAATACAAGGCCAAGTAAACAAACAGAGGCAGAAGCACTCGCAACACGACGTCCGGCAGGTCTTGTAGCCACTTATTGCTTCCGGGAATAATTGGCTTGGAGGACGCGGGGCGTCCTTCTAAGCAATTTCGGCGTTGGAACTAATTGGCTTGGAGGACGCGGCGGGTCCCTGATAGCCAATCTCGCATCAGCTATATGTTTGTCCATAGGCCGAGAGGCTCGGCCACATAGAGTGGATGTCCGGCAAGGCCCAGGATCCAGCCTCTCACTCCAAGAGCTTCATGCCCAAGGGAAAAGTAAGGTAAGCCAGGCCTTGCCAGGTGTCCTCGTGGTGCTCACAGCTCACAAGGAAGCCTTTGCCTCGCCACTTCAGATGTAAGGTTCGTTGAGGCTCCATGGGAAGCTCAGAATCCTTTTTCTCTCCCTCGGAGAAGCTAGCAATGCCTCACGCATGAATGAAGATCGATCAACAGTCTCTCTAAAGATCCAATCCACGCACGCCAGGCCAGGCTTCAGCACCAAGCGGGTGCAAGCTAAGCTTACCGAGCAGAATCCCAGGAGCATTGGCCCTGTCTGAAGCCTTGCCCGCCTGGTTTACACTTTGTGACGGACCTGTCCCTGGGTCCCTTCACATGCCCAGGTCAAGCTAAGTGTCTGTTCTGGTAGACCATGTCGCCCTGGTACTCTGCAGCAGTTGCCAGGTAAGTTCCATTGGCCTCTAGAGTGGCCGCCATCAGGTGGCCCAACAGTGTTGAATACGTTGATTCTAGACTTTTCGACTCCTGCCCGGGCTTCAAAATCTCTCTTCTCTTTGCAACCGCGGGTCTTGCTCCCAGCCGGCGCCATGCACGACCAGAGCAGCGCTGCGGCCGCGAGCGAGGCGCGACATGTGGCAACATCCGGCCGGGACCCTGGTACGGTATCAATTTCAGCAGCCAATGGGTGGCGAGTTGCCGTGAGTCCGTGCGTCAGTTGCTGGTGTCTCGTTCTGGAGCCAAGCATACCCAAGCTCGGACGAAACTTTAGAACGAGTTCCACGTCATCCTACTACTGGATTCGTGGCTGTAAGACCCCGTAGGTTGCTCAACTCTCGCAGCCTGGATGTCCGAGTTCTCTTGAAATGGAACCTGCAGTAGATGAGATAGGCTGCACATTGGCGACATGCTGCGAAGATCTCACTAGCACCAGGCTGCGAAGCTGAGCTAGGCCCAGAGCACAAAGCATGGCAAGCACTGCGCGTGAGGCAAGGAGCTCCAACCTCAGGACTTTCGCAGCTGCGCGGGATGTAAAATCTTTTCCTCTGCTTTGCTTTGCATCTCAGGTCCAGACTCGCTCTTCGGCATGTTTTGCTTCGCTCCCTGCGTTGCGCATGATGCAGACAAGCTTCAAGCAGGTATGAGACGTCATAACAGATTCAACAGCCAGCAGCCAGCAACCGTTGATCTCCCAGCATGATATATCAATTCAAGTTCCAAAACCTCATTTTCTGGCATGCTGGAGTGAAGATGCCAGTCGTTTCAGAACGCAGAGTCAAGCCTTCTCAGACAGCGACACCTTTTTTTCGCCCTGCGCCCCGGGCCTTGTGTTGACGTTGTTGTGCCTGAGACTGAATTAGCGGAAATGAAATACGACCGCCGCGACGCACAAGAACAAGAGCAATATTTTTTGGTAGAATCCGTGTCTTCTTGAAGTGCTGCTGCTACTGGCATGAAGCACGACCGAACGCTTGCCCTCTTCAAGGGAAGCATAGGTGACATTAAAAATCTCAGTCGGAGCCATTTCTTTGCAAAGCCGGCTCGACGGCTTATAGAAGGACCCCGTTGACATTGCCACACGGCATGAGGCTGTTGCAACCGTTGTGATTTTGTGCTGGCAGTCTCGGATAATCGCATGTGTAGGTCGCACCAAGACAGGGAGCATCGGACAGAGGGCCCTCAGCTATCTTCAGCTATTCTTGGTTTGCATTACAACCTCTGCTTATGTGATCCCTCCACGAGGCCACTCAAGATGGTAACAAATTGAGCTACCGTCTGCAGTGGAGGCTTTCAAAAGTCTGCTGACGTTTTCCTAACACGCAGAAACCTTCGCTGCAGTCTGTGCGGTTAATGAGCATCAGAGGACACTCAGGGCCGGAAAGCCAGACAGCTCTCAAGCGCGTGGCGTACAACCTGGCAAAATGCTAGACTTGTCTGAGAACGTACTGGTGATACCGGGCAGACACTTGGGGCAAGGAAGTGCAGGCTGGCAATTCTCGTTGATTCGAACCTTCTATTCTGAGCCCACGGAGAGGGTTGCTAGAATTCAAGCACTCGCAAGGCTTCACGCTGCTTGCCCAGTGGCTGTTGCCAGAGGGATGTCAAGATCTGTGACCTGCAGAATGGTGGACCAACACCCCTGACACATGCATGAAGTGCCCTCCTATCCCTTGAACATGCTTGGCATCCGCACAGAAAGCACAGCACCCGCGAGAGGACGGGCACCCTTCGAGTTTTTCAAGGACCTGCCACTGATATATGCGAAGTTGGCCCTCCATCCTTTTCTTTTACTTTCGCAGGGTCCTTTCAAACCCCGCCTCTTCGGCCACCTTGCGGACAATCAGGTCTTTATCCTCACATCGATAACACAAACAGGCAGAGAGACAGACAGACAGACAGTCAGACAGCCAGCCAGGCAGGCACGCAGGCAGACAGACCGACACACAGCCGCGCGTGCGAAAGCGCGCTTGGGCCAAGCATCGTTAACGGAAATACTGGTCACAGCTCGAAGCAGGCGCTTGTCCACCGTGACAGCCTTGGCCCAACCCGGACACACGCAGACACCGAAACGAGAGCGATGCTCATCTTCAAGCAGATGGCCTGGGGGACCGAGGGCAGGGCTAGACTTTGCAGTGCTCGGAGGGCTTCTCGACGAACGGGGGAGGATTTATCCTGTGCAAGAAGGAGTGACACCGAAGCTCAGCTATGTTGCTTATGCATAATTAACTTCTTAGACTCCATGTGCCTCCTGAGCCCCGGAAAATTCACTCAACCTGGAGACAGGGGGGCTCCTTCAGAGCGGCCTGCGCTCGGCTGAGAGCAATGCGGTCTCCGGGATCCGCAAGACGTGCAAGCCTTGCCGGCAACGTGCTTTTGAATGCCGCGCGTGAGGCAGTGAAGGAAGGGAGAAGCATCATGAACCGGCAGATTGAGACCACAGCTCCGACCACATCACACTTCTCAGGTGAACAGGCACCAAGCACTCGGCCCCTGCATCGCAACGGCACGCATCTCTGCATCCGAGTCTTGTACCCTGGCAGGTGTCGATGCATGCACATGAACCGTGATGATGACATGACGTCCGTACAGACGTTTCGACTCACACACTCGCCCACGCAGGCATGGCAGGTTAGTCTGTATGATGCAAGAGCGTCGCGAAGTCTCTTCATGGCAACAAGATACTGTGCTGCTTGCCCAATTTTCGACAAGCCATGAAACGCATCACTGCCTCTGCAGCACACAGCTGAGGGCTGCCTTGCATCAGCCCCAAACAGCCACGGTGGAATCAATGAGCGGAGAAGTAAGAAGCTTTGCCCCGCTGCAAGCAGAGTGGATGCTGGGAGGCCGGCAGCTCGAGCTTCTTCACCCATGGATGCCGACCTTTTAGGGCAGAAGATAAATCTCGCCCGCGCCTGGAATAGTCACACTGTAGTCTGTTTTTCCGTGCCACTTACTTTGCCGGTAGTTCATCGTCAACGAATGAAACTTTGGAAGTCACCGGGAAGCTCCAAAGTCAAGTGGCAGTGCCGCCACGGCCAACATGGCGGCTCGTCGAAGCGCAGCCTTCAGAGCATGTCGGGGGCTGCAGAGAGACTTGGGAGGTCTACGACAACATCGCACTAGAAGTACCTACTGGTATACAAGGTATATGTACTACTTGTACCACAAGAAAGTGAAGTAGATAGTCTATAGTCTATAGACTGGGCGAAAACAGACCTCGACTCGGCCCTGGCAAAAGCGGTCTCTCCAGCGACCCACACCCCTCGAAGGAAAGAAGGAAGGCCGCTAGGCCGGGGCCTCGTCGTCTGAGAGATAGGCTTCGGCATCCTGGCGTTTTGATGTGCGGAAAAATCAAGGCTGCTCCATATCTGACACCGGCACCACGACTTCTTTAACGGAGCTTGGTGTGAAAGATGCCACAAGGTCCGCAAGCAAAACTGCATTGCACGTGGCACGCCGCAGATCTCCCTATCCGAGCAGGCCAGACTGCGTGCACTCGCTGAACGCGGCAGCTTTACATAACCCGCCCTTTGAGATCGTAAGTGCTGGCCAGACAGTGAAGCTTTTTGCGACACAACGGCCACAACATGCCGCACATCTGATGTGGCTGTGATTTTCCAGGCATCGTCTGCGAACCGGATTTGCGCAGACACGAAACAACCCTGCGACAAACGAGCAGCAAACAGCTCCGCTGCTTAGATATGCCGGGAAGAGCTCGTCACAGCCGCTCGGTATCAGCGCGTTGATAAAAAGAGGCATTCCTCCACCTTCCCGAAACTTCCGGGCACCCTGTGTGGCACCGGCCGAATGCTAACAGCTGTTCACGGGTGCCCGGCCCCTTGCCACAATCCTAATTGGCCTCAACCGCGGAAAGCGGTAGGCCGGTGCCTTCCCCTCTTGCGACGGCACGGTGCATTCGTTGCTGCGCGTGTTTGTTGTCACTTGGGCTTCCCTACCAAATCGCCTCACTGTGTTAGCGACAATCGCGCACCTTTTCCTTTATCGTGACCTGGGCCCGAGAACGTGGTCAAGCGAAGGAAGTCGATGCTCGAGTGTCGCTGACACAGTGACTCAGATGCATCACCCGTATCAGCATTTCGGGCCGGCAGTCGCAATGAAAAGTCGGGCATATGGACATAATGCGCTTGCATCATCCATCCAGAAGCAATCTCACGAAGAACGGGCGCGCTTGGCATCCATCACGTTGGTGAGATCATGCTGTCGCAACAGCCACACCCACTTCACATCGCAACTGAAGTCAAGATGCTGCAGACAGTTCCGCTCTTATTATCTTCCGGAGTGACGCACGGCCCTGTAACATACTCTAACGGTACGCTCCCACATCCTGGCAGATGTTCGCTCCTGTGGCATCTAGGAATTTAGGCAATGCTGCATAGCGAAACTTAGCGAAACCCATTGTTCGGGCCAAGCCTCGGGGAAATCCCACGCTGTGTAGACGAATTCACGTCACGACGCGAATGATAGCGCAGACATGCGCAGACGACAAGGCCAAGAGAGCACCCACAACACCCGCATCGTGCACTTTTCTGTGCAAGCGATTGCCCATGCCCTCGTCCGGACCTGGAAAATGATTCTACGGCACAAAAATGCCATGACTAGGGTGCGCATCAAGAGGCAGCACCCTCCACGTTTAGCAGCTCTGACCACTCAATGCCGCTTCAAAGACACTCCGTGAATGACTCCAGTCAGCTGCAATGGATTGGCCAGCCTCAGTTGCCAAGCCAAGCGCCGAACACCGTATCTCGACAATGGGTGGGAGACGTGACCCCGAAGCTTGTTTCGAGGAGCCTCAGCTCCTGCAGCGGCCTCTCAACGGCGCTCTTCAGCACCTCCGCCACACGGGCCTGCCACAGCTGCACTTCTGCCCGAATTTCGGAACAGGAGCCTCGGTTCTTTCCTTTCAAGCTGAGCTTGTCCTTGTAAGGTCTGCATGCCTGGCCGGCACGGCCGGCGTGGCCTGAGCTTCAGGGTCGTCGGTCTCTATCGCTGCGGCGGCATCCGACGCGAACTCTGCGAGCTCCTGTGCAGCCAAGGCAAGGCCAGGGCGAAGCAACAGAGCGCGGGGTGTCCTCCGGTGAGGCCGCACCCATCTGCAGGCACCAAGCAGCGAGGCGCTCCGTATACCTGAGCTCATAAGCCTGCAAAGCAACAAAAATTGAAAACCGCAATCTGTCGTGCGGCTGTGCCAGACTCAGTTGCTGCAGCCATGCCTCGGGCGAGTTCTTGACACAAAATGGGTCAGCGGTGGAAACAATCAAACTTGTTCCTGCCTGCAGGCCCGACTGCAGGTCTAGCGTTGCCGCTCGGCGGGCAAGCACCTATTGAAGCAGACTTTTTTGGTGCTCATGTCGCAATGTAGACCCCATGGTCAGCAGCAGCCTCGTTGCTCTTCACTGCATTCACACGGGCGGCTGTCCCCAGCGTAATGTGGGGGTGCACGTTCCTTCATTTCCGCGACTCTTGCCAAAAATCAAGGAAATAACATGAGAACTCTTGACATGGCCTGCTGCTGATCAAAAGGCCGACCGGGCACGACCGTCAATGCATCCACGTACACCAGTTTAGCCGGGACACGCACAGAGCTGGTCAATGCCGCCACGCAGCGCGACAGATGCTGCGGCAATGCGACCTTCCAAACGAAGCTATAAACAGAGTCCCCGAAGTGCGCAGTGCAGGTCGGCACCTTCTTCCCAGACGATGCTCGTCACGTCAAGGTCCACCTTCTCCCCTCGATTCGTCTGGAATTAGTGTCAAGTGCTCCAGGCATCTAGGCCTAGGCAGCCTAGGCCCTACAAGCCCTACAACTACTAGAATGGATGTGCAGCAAGCTCTTGATGCTCTTGCCTGCGCGCCGTTTGAACTCCTCCCGCAGTTGAGCAACGTGGGCTGGCCCTTCCAACTTCGGGTTCCTTGCAAGGAGCTCGTCGTGAGCCGACTGCTGGAGTACCAAATCGGTTTAAATCCCTTATTCTCTGCAGACGTGCAGTGCTCAAGAGTGGCATGCTGCCCTTGACCAGTGCAAAAGGAAAAGATGACACACGCGGACCTTGTAGCAACTTCTTCGTCCTTGCCACCGCCCAAATACAGCAGCGTGACATGATGCTCCTGCGACTGCTCGAACTTACCACCAGGGGCTGCGTGGCTCGGGCAACTAAGGCTTCTTCTCAAAATGAAATGATGCGCTATGAAACAGAACTGGCACGAGGCGTGTGTAATCGCTGCGGCCCGAGCCTGCCTTCGCTACCGAGATGCCGGAGGCTACTGCCGTGTCATAATCCTTGCGGAAGCCGAGAATAATGCGGCCATCACAAGAACACCGCTACAGTACAGGCTGGCAGCACCCAAGCAACCCTGGGCCCACATCACCAGCCCCTGGTTTGCAAACTATTCCCGTCACCCAGGACCACCTCCTGCTGCTCCCAGCGCTTGAGGAGAAGCTCCGAGGACACCTTCCACTAGAATGACCGATCTGAGTAGCTGCAGGTTTTCAAGCTTCGGTACTGCTGGGGGATCAGTTGTCACGACAACACTGCTTCTTCGATGTACTGGCGACCATCGAGAGTCATGACCATGCGCGAATCGTCACAGCGCCACAAGCATGCAGCGCGATCAAAAAGCTTCCCACCAATTTATCGGTTCAGAGGATTCAGGAGCTCTCCTACGCGGCGCGACTTAGAGATTGGAGATGTCACCAACATCTTTCCGCCAAGTACTGGCTGGATTTCACGAACTTCGAGACCAAAGTCAAAGCGGCACGACGCGCACAGCGCCCGGACACTCCGTCGAAATTCCAAGGCCAACAAACCCAAGCTTTCTGGCGGACGCGGACATGCCACGCCCACCGAGATCGCTGTAAATTCGGGACCGATGAGAGGCGAATACAATTCAGAATGGATCGGGCTTACCGGAAGACGTGGACACGCCGAGATCACGGAGAGGGTTTGTGGAACAAATCGTCACGGCACCAGTTCGCATGACCGAACACTCTGGCTTCAGCAATCCGAGGACAAATCGTCCTGGCACAGAAACCTCAATTTCTCTGAGCAAATTCTGCACTAATCACTTCAGCCAGCCTCCGCCCATCACTGCAACTTCTGAATAGTGACGCAGACAGCAAGAATCTACGACTAAAAAGCTCGTGACTTGCGATCGGTGAAGGGCCATCCCAAACGACCAAAAGCCCAAGTCCAAATCCCGCCTCGTCGAGCTGCACCACCCAGTACCAGACCGGTGGAGGGCCCTTCCTCAGACTATCAGCAGCCCATCTCAAGCAAGCAAGGACAGGATTGTCAAAGGCAGGGGCGGGCTCTCGTCCTTCTGGCCCTTGCCCTTGCCCTTGCTGGCTGCGGCCGCCAACTCCCACTCCGCCCTGTTCGCGGCCTGAACTCAGCAGGCTCGTCATTGCACGCAGCGTCGGAGGCGTCGTCTTGGTCCCGGACGTCCTGTGCCTGGAGCAATCGATGCTCCTGCAGCAGCGAAGCCAGTTCGAAGCGAGGCTCCAGGAGCCCCACCTCCTTGGCACGCTTTGCGTTTGTACCCAACCAGAAAATGCATCGCCTTTGTTCGACGTTTCGGCGTACAGCCTCCTGTGCTCTTGCATGGCGCCTCACTCCTTGTTCGGCTTTGCACGAGCGTCAAGGTGGCATTGAGCAGAGATCGGTAAAAAATGAAAGCTATTGCGATATCTTCGGCGTTAAAATCACGAAGGCTGAGTGGGCTTGCGGACGGCTTGCGGTCAAAGCAAGACGGGATGAAAACGAAGCACGGAAAGCCGCCGGTTCAGTTACTACTGTTGCTCGCTGCCCGAAGACTGCCTTTTCATGACTGGGACAGTCATGCAACGGCACTGCGCCAGCACAAGTGTCACGACATTAGCCCCTTGTGCTTCCCAGAGTAATTGCACAAAGACTCTAGAATCCAAACTCAAAACCTCACTCATGGCCAGGCATCGTCCAGATCCTGCAGCAGTTTCATCACCTGCCACGAGAGTGGCAATGTAAAGCTACACAAATTCACGGGCCCACAAACTCTGCAAGGGCCGCGCCTGCACAATGGAAGTCTGCACCATGTTGACACGTAGTGTGGCAGCAAAGTTTCGGGCTTCCTGCAGTTCACAGGGCACTCAGCTTGCACACATCGCACAGCGTGTCAAGTCCTCCTTGCTCAGGGGCTCCGCGGCTTGAGCTGTCCTGGTGCTGGCGCTGACCAACAAGGCACCCAGAGCTCGGAACGGGAAGGCAAACCAACGCAATGCCAACTCCTGAAACCCCGAAGCCCTCACCCGTGCCCAGTCCGCTGCAGTATGGAACGCAGCTGCGGGTTGTCTGCCATCAAGGTGCCTGTTCAAACAGCTGCAGGCAATTCAAACACGCATGCACAATCAACACCTTACATAGCATATGTAGAATTGTGCTTGTCGAGGAGAGCACGATGTCCAGACCCACGCCGGGCAATTCGGCTTTCGCACCAACTCAGGGTATTCTCCCAACCTCATGAAAAACGCATCTCCAGCATAAACAGATGGGAATGGTCGATTTGCCAAGAAGCAGAAACGAAGTCCAGAAGCGGACTGTTTAGTTGTTCCGCTCAAGACTTAGGACCGATACAGCAAAGTCTACAAGTGTGGCTAAATTTCCTGCAGTAAACATCAGCACAGAAGCGGTCTGTCGCATCATCTGGATGCTTGATCTGCACATAGACAATGTCACCTATCACAAGGTCAACCAGTATCCCAGCTTGAACTGCTCCAAATTGAGCCCTTAAAATTTTGAGAACACAGTGCATCTCACCTGGACGTCCTTTTCGCATCTCCTGGACAATTCCACTCCGATGTTGCCGCTCGGTGCTGATCCTTCAGCAAACTCAGCAGTTGGAAGACTGTGAAGACTGTGCGCTGCGCATGAGACCAAGGGACGGAGAGCGGAAAGCTGGGGTGCTGCAGGCAGGGAACATAGACATAAACCGAACGAGAGAGGAGATTATGCTACCCAGTGTCTTGTCAACAAGCAGAACAGCCACGGCATCATCAGCCGCTGCTTCTGCTATCCTCATAGATGCACGAAGCTGCCACAAAAACGTCACCACAAAACACGACACTTTGCACACGCATCAAATAGCCAAGATCAAAAGTTACAATGTTTTGTCTGCAAACCCAAGGATCGCTTTGAGGAAGGCTTTCTTGGCGTTCTTCTGACTGCTAAACTCGTCCTGGTTGATCCAGGTTCCTGCCGGCGATAGCGAATCTTGAGCCGATTGCTTTCATGGAGCGTTCTCCGAAATTCTTCGAAGAGGGGAGGTTTTGGCTGCGTCCTTTTAGCAGGTGCCGAAGCATACGGCAGATTGTGCTCTTGCCGGAGCCCATCAAGCCCCCGATCACCAGGCGAAGCTGCCGTGGCGGCTCCTCCTCCGGTGCCTCGGAGAATAAGCCATCATTAGGCCCTCTGAAAAACCAAAGGGAGGGGAGGAGAAGCAGAGTGCACACTCTAGTGACCGACTTGAAGCCTGTCTGCAGTGTTCAGAGCCTCGTCTGCTAGAAAACTGCTGTGTGGCATCAGCGGCGCGAAGCTACATGAAGAAACAGCCATGCACAAATCGCTTAAGCTTAAGGAGCAAAGTGACAAGGTTCTCATGCTGAAGTATGCTCAACATGAAGAAGGCATCTGGCGAAAGGACATCTGCACACGGGGCGCCACCTTCTGGTGGTTTAATTTACCGCCCTGCTCTTCAAGGTGCCTCCAAACGTCCGAGCATGGACTGAAAGAGGAGCCGACCCACCTCCGGCAAGTCTTCCTGCAGGGTTGTTGCAAGGAGGCGTAAAGTAAGTGCTCGCGCGTGCTCGCTGCTCGCTGACATTGACTCAACTAATCTCGCATCGCATCAAGCTCCCTTTGCACACTACACCTTCTGCACAGGGCTATGCTGGACTGCTCCTTTGTAGGCATGCGCCGCACGGAGCAGGCGGATGTCGCCTCCAAGTTAAGACGGCGTTTCACAGATGATGTCTCTCCCTCTCTCCCCCCGGCCTGCGAGACGATCGACGTAACCGGGGCTGGAGAAAGTACCCGCACTGGTGCCGCACTCGCACTCGTTCCAGCCGTTTCCGGCATCGTCACTGTCCCAGCACGCTGCAAAGGCTGAGCCGGCAGTTGTGCTGGCTGTGCCGTCAAGCCTGGGGTGGATTCCGCCAGTGTCACTGTGCCAGTTCGCTGTAGCACGATTGCCTGTGCCTGCTGTGTGGTCGGCACACTAAGTGCGGGCGGGCTTGGCAGTGTGAGGGTGCATGCTCGGCTGAGGACAGGAGCTCTTGCCCCTGTGACTGTGCTGGCACGTTGGAGGGTTTGTGGAACTGGGTGCCCCCCTGTCGTCGTGCTTGCACGCTGCAGCTGTGCGGGAACGGCAGGGGGCAGTGCGGTGGCGCCGAGCCTCTGCGGTGGAGCCATCATCCTGCGGCAGAGAGAGCTTTGGAAGACCCCGGTCACTTCAAGCACCGAGCCCGGCCTGGGCCACGGAGCAGCCAGGGCCTCAGGCGCCTCCCCAAAAGAAAACACTCGGGGCCCTCTTTCTGGTGCCATCTCGTAGGGGGACGCCCGTCTGTAGTGAAAAGGCTCTGTGTTTCCCACGAGTACCCGTGTCGATGCACGCCCTCTGGTTTGCAACTTTTGCATGGGTCAGCTGAAACGCATCCCACATCCTCTCTCTTCCAGGCACGCACATTTGAGTATCCCATCAAGATTCAAGATTCTCCACTCCGGGCTCGTCTCCCCAAGTTCAGGCATCTCTCGCACTCTCTCTGCCGTGCAATCTTCGAGGGTCTCGCTGTGCAAGGGCACCGAAAAGCAGGGTTCCACAAAATTCCCCTGCGGCAGCTCTCCACATCTAAGGCTCTAAGGCTCTTTTCGGAGTTTGCATTGCATTGCATTACGTTTGCATTGCGTGGATCAGCTGGCCTGGCCTGCGACCAGGTTCCCAAGCGCTGAAGCTGCGAAGACCCCGTCGCCACAGTTCTGGAGCAACGTGGAAACGAAGATCACACGAACACACACCAACAGCCCAAGCAGCTGATGAACTCTAGTACCACATGAGGATGGCACTTTCCGGCTTTCTTACTTTACATGGCACACATTCCATCCAGCCTGGTGAGCGGTATGGGCTGAAGCTCCCGAAGGGTCGTAGGAGGCACCTTCCCGAGCTTGGGTTTCGTGTTCACATGACACGTAAGAACTGCATCTGACATGACTGACATGACAAGAACCTGCGTGACGGCAGGGTGTGGGCTCGGCGTCCATCCGCTGCTGTCGGCCCGGTTCTCTGGCAGCCTGAATGAACGAGGCACATCGAGGCGCTTGCTAGCCAAATGCGATGCGTTGAACCCCTGACAAGCCGCGTCCACAATCGGAAAGCAAGCATGGCATATCAACCCGATGGTCAATCTCACTCCAAAGCACGGCCGCACTTCCGGGGCAGCGGGGCTGACACGGGCCGACTCCAGCAGAGTCTCCGTTCCTCAAGGCATGACAAGTTCTTCTTTTTCGAAGCTCCTTCTCACTGCCCAGGCACGTGCCAGGCCGAGCGGGGGCCGGTCCCAGGTCGTCGTGCGCGCCCCGGGATGGAGTGCCATGAGCCCGGTGTCCGGCTAGGCCGCTAGGCCCCATAACAAGCGGTGAACGCTTTTGGTGTGTCTGTGCTTCGGGCTCACAAAGGAGTTGCAGGCAGGTTGCTGGGTGTATTATTTGGTGTGGTTGGCTTGAGGCCACACAATGGCCAGGTTGCTTCTGTTCTGTAGACTTGAGCATCCTGTATATGCAAGCTTGCATTTATGCACTCGAAGACGCCTTGACTGTTTCTCTTTTTGACGACTCATGGCTCGAGATCTGCACACAGCAGCGGGCTTGCGGCAACAGACTGGCCGGCTTATGTGGGAGGCCGTGTCCGTTGATTTCTATAATGGATTCGAGTTGGCAAGTCGTAGTTACGGGGATTTTGGATCGGTGCAATCACGCTTTTATGACCAGGGGTTTCGTCAAAACTCCGAGCATGTCTACCTTCCTGGAAGGGCAGCATAGGTTGGCGTACATGCAAAGGGATGTCGGACCGATGCTTCCAGCAGATGACCTGTGACTACAATTATCATCAAATCGTCAAGACGCTGTGGGTATGCTTCATCCTTTAGGGATTGGTACTTGTCATGAACGGACTGTGTGCATTGGCCGCATGCGAGGTTTGCCAACCAGATTCGCCCTCACCCCTGACAAACCCACCATGGACGCACCACCTTCGGGCACCACAAGATAGACCCAAAGATACCAAGGTTGTGAGGCGTTTTAACTTCTTACATCCATTAGTTCATGCTACTGTGGTGCACCAAGGATTATATGTGCACTAACGAGGCACAGCGCATTAAGCATCCAATCCACTGCCGCGGGAGAGAACGATTCACATGCTGGCAGACGTGGAAGCTGAGGCAAGCAATGGCGGGCTGAGCCAAGACCAGAACAGTCGAAAGCAACCCAAGCTTGTGCTGCACATGCACTCATGTTCAAGCTCCGGTTTTGTGTTTGTGTGCGCTGCCACACGACATTCTGAGTAGATGCCGGCGCAGAAACCCAAATCCTTCGACGATAGGTGCCTTGAGAGCCTCCACGTGCCCGGGAGCCAGAGCAGCCAATGTAGCCATGGCCTCAGCTTTCTCGATGAGTTAAAAGCATAGCACTCGAGAACGAGGCTCCCGAAAGCGAAAGGAGCACGGTGATTGTTTTGCCTCCTGCATTGCTGAGCAAGTCACTTGGCAGGGTGATAAGTGGTATAATGTAGTATTTTCATTAAAATCACATGTAGCCTGCAAGCTTGAGACTGGCCGAGGTACCGAACATCATCTCATCTCATCTCATGTCATCCGTCCCCCTTATCCACCCATGCACCCATCCGCCAATCCGCCTCCACCCATCCATTCACATCCACCCCGGCACCCTTCCACCTTTCCACTCCTCCATCCATCCATGCAGCCGTCCTCATCCATCCGTCCATCCATCCATCCCCTCATTAAAATCCTTCCTATAACAGTTCTTAAACCCTCTACAAATCTGACCCACATGCTTCCCCCCGTGCACTGGCGGGATCTAGAGGCATGAGCAACATGCTTCCCCCAAGTCCTCGTGGGATTATTTGGATTCAAGCACGGCCAGAACCCAACGATGCTCTCTGCACTTCCTGGTCAATGTGTCGGAATGCGTCGGACCAGGCATTCCAATAGCAGGGGAAAGCACGTGACGAGTCCGATTTGATGATCGATGTGGTCGATCGGTGCGGCACAGAAGCGCTGAGGCCGTGCATATTCGAGCTTGTGCAGCATTGAACTTCGTCGTGAAGGCCTGGTGGCTAGTACGAGCTAGAGCTGCGTCGTTCGACTGGCTATGGACTGCGAGCAGAATGATATCCTGCGACATTCCGCAGTCTTGACAACGATTGACAAGCGCGAAAGGGGCAGAAAGGGGCAACTGTTGTTGCCAGACACATCCTTCCCAACTCGTGTCGCACTGATGGCCTTCACTTCGGCAACCAGTGAGCGCAACAAGTCATCACCCGCCCAGGTCGCACCATCCTCCCACTCTGCCCTATCGCTGCCCGCACATTCCTTTCTTAACACAAACCAGCTTGCAGCGTAGAAAGGCTGTGCGTCACCTACGTTCATGTCAATGTGCCTGCGTGGCTTGCTTCGACGGGCGTCTTTCCAGACGCTCCCCAGAAGGCAAAGGCATCCATGCATTCTTGCAAGATGGTGGGGCTCTCCGGTTGCCGCACTGCACATGCGCCTGGCAGGCTCCGCTTGCAGAGAATTCGCGGCGCGAAAAAATCTGGCTCGGATTTATCCTCGGAAGCAGTCAGAAAGTCTCGTGCAAGCATGGCATTCCAAGCCTTTCTGTCGGCAAGATAGCCTAGGCTTGGAATTGCGATCCCACCGTTGCCCACGGCACTAAAGATGCGGGGGCTCCTGAGGAAACCTCTGGCACACCTGCATCGGCTGGTGTGCCCACTGAAGTCTCCTCAACATCCACTGCCAGCCAGTCACAGACAGCCAGTGCACGCAACAGCAAGGGCTCGAGAGCGTGACATAGCGTGACAGAATGGCATGCGTGATGTGTGCTCGCAATGTCGATGCAAGCATGAGCGACACAAATGGCAACGGCCAACCACCCTTTCGAAACCTATGCCATGCAAGCTCACGCCTGCAATCTCACGGCAACCTAACGGACGACGACACATCAAAAGCATCACCGCATCATGCCATTCAAACAACATCATCGTGTCATGTCGGAAGCCTCCACAGGGACCGCAAACTAAGCATCTCCGGCAGCCTCTGCTCCTCAGGCCGTGACAACCACCTGAACGCTCGTGTCGCGCTCCTTCGACATGTGGCCAAGCACAGTGCAACGGAGATCCAAAAGAGACGCCTTGATCCCAAACTACTGACGAGTGGAGGGGAAACAAAGCAAACCCGAAAGGTCCTTCAGCGCAGCTCTAACTGCGCCCAGAGCAGGCTCACTGCATGGAGCGGCCACATGGGGCAGTGCCTCAACATTCCAAGCGTACTAAAAGGGATGCATTGAAAGCATCTTCTCTGAAGCTGCTAAAGCCCACCTCTAGCACTGCCCGCTGTACTGGTGCTGATGCAGTGCGCAGGCGAGCGCAAAGAACCTATGGCTACAAATGCAGCACTTCAGACTGAACCGATCTCGAGCGACTCACGGGTGACCACACGCCGCCACACCTCTAGTGTCTCACGGTCCTCGAAGTTCGCCATCCTGGGATGCGGCACTCACTGCTCACCTTCACAACCCAGAGTATACACGCAATGAAAAGCCAAGAGTCTTTGTAATTGCTCGCACTGCGGCGACCTCGTAACTGGACAGGTCACGACTGCTCCCGACACGCGGGCACAACAAATTAAGATGACCTGTACTTCAGCGGACCATCATCCGATCACGTGACATCATTTTATCCCTACGAACTTTCGGGCCTGTTTATCTGGACCCTAACCTGGCCAAAGCTGTTCTTCGACTCGCTGCACTGTATCCATCGCGCGCATGAAGTTCGAGGCAGATTGCTGATTAACAAGCAGCATGCCTGCCGTCCGGCCTGCACATGCGCAGAGTCATCGTGCAGTCGTGAGGAAACCTGCAAGCATCATGGCGGTTCATGAGTGGTACCGATTCTTGCAACACGGCGACATGTTCAACCCGCTCCATCTGAGAAACCCGAACAATCCCTTGCCGTTCTTTCCCCTGCCTCCTCGAAAGTGCGGCGATCATTATGTAGCGAAACCTGCCCCAGGGCCTGGCGACAATGCAGCGGGCCGGTCCTGCTCTCGAGTCTAACCCACAGCCATCCGGCCCTTTTCCCGCAGGTCTGGCAGGGCTAGGCGAATCAGAAGCGCGGAAGCCATCTCTGACATAAGATGTGGTGGATTGCGCTGGCCGTCCACAATCTGAGCAGCAGAAACTCTGTCCACTCTCTGGCTTTCTCTGGCTCCGTGCAAGGTAGTCTTAGGAATCTTCCATGCTGGAAAAGCAACCACATCACCCGTGGCCGAGATCGCCGAGGTCGCCGAGGCAGGCTCCAGCTCCAAGTCCAGGCCATCGCCGCGCAGGAGCTCCGCGCACCGCCGCCCCTGCCCCAGCCTTACTCCAAGGGCAAATGCAGAGCGGCATGCGGCGCAAGCGTATGTCCAGAGCTGTCACAAAACTCCAAGCACCCCACTGGCGGCAGCAACTAAAGTAACTGCAACTAAAACTTGAAAGCAGCATGCTTACCCTCGCGGTAGGCTCGCCTGTCGCGCTCCATGAGCAGAACCTCCGAAGCTCCCCTGACCGCCCTGAGCACTGCTCGAAGGGCATCGCACTGTGTAGCGTCATGCCTTATATGGGAAGCAGGCGTTCGAGATCGCCAAGGCGCGTCCACGGACAACTGAGCTTCGGACACGAGGTCTGCACCCACCAGCAGGTCAAAAGCACCAAGCGAATGTCTGAGATCATCGTCCACGTGCCAGCGCAGCCGACGCACACTAATCCTGAACAGCCCATCACCACCCAGCTCACTCCCCGCTCAGCATCCGAAAAGTCCCCGGCACGTGTTGGAGCTTGCAGTGATAGTAGGGGTTAAGAATTGCGGAACGATCGATTCACGGGCTTTATCCAATCCGAGGAATTTAATCTGCAAGGAACCACGCGGCTAGCTCAGACCCCATGCTCAGCATCTCTCCAATCGGAAACGTGCCACAAAATGATGATAGCCTGCCTGTTCATGTACTGGACATCGGTGACCCGAGCCCACAAACACTACACTCCCTCTCGCACATGCTCAACCTGCCGAAACATGTCTGAGTTTCGGATGACAGTATAATTTTGTTTTCTACTACTACCCGACAGCACCTCGCCAGCAGGATTTTGACTCTCCGAAACCTACCGGAAAAAGTCTACTCGAGTCAAGAGACCGACTCTGCTCCGCCGTGTTTTTCCGCAGATTCGCCAGAACACAGTCCGCACCATCTGTGGCCACCACCTCATGGCCTGGCTTTTCAGGCCATGAGCCGAAAGAGACGGAGCACCGCTTCCCGGCCTCGCGCGGCCAGCAGCAGAGCCACGAGGCCTGGCCCAGCGCCTGAGGCTCAGAGGCTCCGAGGCCGCCCAGAACTCCAAAGCGGGCGGTTGGGGGCGCTTCTTCTCGCCGCGGCGCCAAGCTCAAGAACCCGAAGTCGAGGGTACTCTGGCCGGTGTCCTCACATCGCTCCAGCCGCTTCCGAAAGCTTTGATCCCTGCACGACTGGATGATGCGGGGGCCTAGTAGCTTTGCCAGGCCGACTGCCATCGCCCAAGTCATGCCGCCGTCGCCACAGTCCTCCAAGACTGTAGGATGCATCCAGCTGAGTCCAGCTCTGCAAGACTCAACTCAGGTTCTTCAATCATCCAGAGGTTCTCGGCTCAGAAAGCGGAGGGCACTGAGCTCGGCGCCCGATGCACGATGATACATGAACGGTAGGCACTGGTAGTCAGCTTTTCAACTCAGCACGTGCATCAGATTCAGGATATGCAACGCTGAATTGCCCTGACTTTGCTCTGGATGTGGCACAAGACATCTCATCTTTGTTTAGGTCGAGACGCGACAGGAGAAAAGCTAGAGTCTGCTAGAGGGCAGTACTCTACCTAATACATACTTCATCATACTTCTGCACTATCACGATCCCCTTTCACATCACTTCCATCACAAGGCCAGATTGGCGATGAGCATTCGCTTCTTGGTCCGTGAGGCCGTCTTTTGCGCCTCACTACGTGCCACGAAGCGGTAACTGTGCGGTAGGTCGAAGAGTTCCGTGGACAACGCCTCCGGTACCATCAACGAGAAGGCCTGAAATCGCAAAGTTTGCAAGTCTGCGAAACGAAATAGACACGCAGCTGTCAGTAAGGAATCTGTTGGCTCCCGCACACTTGGCAGGTCACACTCTGGCCATGGGCTACACATGCGATCACTCCAGAGTAAAGCACACCACAAAAGCCCCATCAATAACCACCCCCACCCATAATACCCATAAAAAATGGAATTGATTCCCCGAAGCCTCGAAATGCAGGGTGGCCCTGATCGCCATGTTGATGGGCACAGCCGCACGAACTGGGAAGACCTGCCAATCACCGACTTCAAGCAGGTCATGTAACTGTGAGGACGGAACGTGCACGTGCACCTGCTGCGGCCCCTCTTGCGAACCCAAAGCGGCCTGGGACAAGGGTCACTGCCACTGTGTCAAGGCCATGCATTTCACCACGCCAAAGTGCCGCTTCGGCCGATGCCCGAGCACGTCCAGCAGCCTCCTACCATAAGTTGATCTGCAGCAGCATTTTCCAAAAGAATGTGCCACGCATCACTCAGTCCTGCAGGCTCGTTGACTGCACAATCTCCTGAAACGAGGGATGAACAGGTATCCTGGTATACTTGGGAATGGAGGCTTAGCTGCACAAAGCTCACTGCCTGTCTACAAATTCAATTGCCGGTTTGGCATCGTCTCATTGCCGGCAGTTCCGCATCCGGATTCGACACTCAGCTTCGATCCGCACCCGTTTGCACGATTGCCATACTGAGAGAGACACGACATCCAAGCAAGAGGTCTACACCGAAGGCAAGAGACTTTGCGCAAGAAGTTCAATGGCATCAGTGAGAGGACAGGTAGATTGCAACAGCACTTTACCTTGCAGACCCGAGCCCAAAAAAAATCGAGCACGCGCTCCTTCAAGCGCTTCATGGGGTTGTGGTGCACCGCAAGCGCATCAAGCACGGGAGTGAACTGACTCATGGAGATGGGGAAATCTGTCGCCAACCAAACACTGCCCGACACCTCCAAGCTGTGGGAAGGTGCAGCACAACTAATTCGGTCGCCAACAACACACACGACTACCGCTTCCCACCGAGCTGCCCGGTGGCTGGAGGTTCCCAAGCGGTCTCTGGAGCCCAGTGGCCTGCTTGGCGTTGAGCCAGCAGGCGCAGGCGCAGGCGCGCCGCCGGGAGCTGCCGCTTCCGGAAGCCGAGGAGCTCCAAGCGTCTCTGGGAGAGCACTTGGCTGGGTCCCCGTCCCCTGTGTGTCTGGCCAATCTTCCAACACCTCCGACTGGATAGAGCCAGCCTCAGAGTCTTGGTCCATTGCAAAGCATTCGGTCGAGGGCGTGGGCACCTGAGACTGTTTTGGCACTGGTGGCGCCATGTATGGCGCCTGGTGGCGTGCAGCTTCGAACTCTCGTCGCAGCTCTGGCAAGCAAGCATCTGGTGGAAGGGGCCGACCGAAATAATCTTGGAAGGTGAGGCCATCTATACGCATGCCCTTCTTTCGCATGGTCATTCCTAGATCACCTCGAACGTCGAACCGCATGCAGTTCCAGCCATTCACATCACACGGCCCAGCGGGAGAGCCCAGCCACGTGGTCCCTTCAGTGACATCGACACTTCCAATGCTCATGTCCCACTGCATCGCATCTGCTTTCACTAGATCCTGTACAACTGCAGCAGCCTCTTCGCCGTCCAAGCTCTGCGTCATGTCAACTATCGACTGCTTGTCATGGTTGATCATGAAGAAGCCCCGCGGCATCTGGTCAGCCGTTTTCTCCTCATCTGGTACATCGGTCAGCGGCTCACCTATAAAGACCATCGTCAGATTTCGCCGCTTGCTGAACCGAAACCTCTTCCAGGAGGCCAAGGTGGAGTCCAGGCGCAAACAACTTCCACGCTTCCGCACATGGATCACATCAGAAGGCGCAATCTTATTCAACAATGGGATTACGGGTGACTCGAACTCCCAACGTATCCTGCACTCGAAATCTGGCAGAAAGCTTAACGACTTCGCAATCGAAGCAAGACGCACCTGCCAGCGTTGCTGCAGGTCTCTTTGCGCAGCGTCGAATAGCAAGCGCACTAAACCCTGATCACCACAGCTCACTGCTACGTCCAGTGGTGACCAGCCCAAGTTGGAGCGACAGCGGGGATTTGCATCCCTTTCCAAGAGATACCGCACCATGGATAGATACTCGGAGGACCGTGGCATCAGCTCGATTGCCAGCATGAGAGGGGTGACACCGTGCACATCTTCGGCATTCACATCCACACCTCCCTGCAGCAGCGAACCGACAGTTGTCTGATCCCCAAGCCAGACCGCGGCATGAAGCTCGCAAGAAGGAGCGCTTGCTTCGGGCTGCACTTCTGGCACAGCTTCCTCTTCGTCATCGGAGGGGGGTGGCGGGGCATCGTCCTCTGCAAACAAAGCTGCGGGAGGTTGAACTGGGGGGCAGAGAGCTTCCTCGGTTGGACCAAGACCACACACCCGTGAGGTGACACGAAGGATGCCGCCTTTCTCCACCTCCTTGGGCACCACCTAGCATCCGAATCGCGGATGGATACACTACTCTCTACTCTCCTTTCACACAAGCCCTACTCCGTCGGCCTGCGGCGCGGTACTGAAGTCTTCAGACCTCGGTTACCAACATCTGTTTTGGCTTGGAGTTTGTTCCCCAGTCTAGGCAGGTTGCGGCAGGAGCTCCCATGCCATCACTGGAAGCGCTGGCACGACGAGATCGAGCCTTGACAAGGTGATGGATACTGGCCACAATTGCACAGGAGCGCACGGCAAGCCCTCCGACGCAGGGCTGTTGGACTATCAAACCCACGAAGATTTCGAAAGCTTCAAGCCGGCAAAGCTGACCCGAGGCAGGGACAGAACAGCGCCCTCTTCCACGACATGGCTGCTCAGCACGTGGTGAGAATGTCGGACAAACTACGGACCCCTCAACTCCTGCTCAGGCATATCATGCCACCTCCATCTTTAAGCAGGAAAGTCCCAGCTAGTTGAGGTTGCTGAACTGGTCAAGGTGACTCGCTAGCCAGGCATCTCTCTATCCAAAGTCGAACGTCAAGGCTACATTCCTCTTGCAAGAGGGTCATTGCCACCCTCCTGTGCCAATCAACAGCTGCACATGGTTCAATTCAGTACATAAGGGCCCCCCCTTAGGGGGGGGGGGGG